TTTTCTTGTAATTGATAAAGATATGTGTGTATCCAAAGATTGTTTAGATAGGTTTTCTTTACCTTATCTTTCCGCAAACAGTCTTGTAAAATCTGTATTGATCTTCTCTATCAATATATATTTTAAATTTGAAAATACTATGTTTGTATTCATCCACCCCCCCTTCTACAAACTGTTTCTATTCTTGTAGACCCTTACGGGACCAACAAGTGGTATCAGAGCAGTGTTTTCTTTCTTTCCTTGTGTTTAGCTAACGTTTTGTATTATTTTATCTTTTCTTAGATAATTTACTGCTTTTAAATGGCTTTACAAATCACAAACACACACACACAGAGGATAATGTCTCTCTTGCCAAACCACCCCGGTTTGTCCATGACAATTTTAGTCTCTGGAAGAACCAGATGTCCCTCTTTCTAGAAGGTGTGGATCCTGAAATTCCACACTACATAGAAAATGGACCATATATTCCGTTTGCTATTGTTCTGGCTGTTCCAGCAACAGCTACGACTGCCGCGATTCCTGAACGGCAGATTCCAAAGCTTTCACATCAGTGGAGCGATGAGGACAAGAAGAAAATAGTTATAGACACGCATGCTCGGTCTATAATAGGTATGTCTCTTCCTGATGAGATATATCACTCTGTGATGAAACTCAAAACTTCTAAATCCGTATGGGATACTCTTTGTGTCCAATACGAAGGAACCACTCAGGTTCAGGAGACTAGAAAGATCAACCTAGTAAGACAGTATGAAAGCTTTTTCTGTGGAAAGTCCGAGACACTGTCTGAAGTACATCAAAGATTTAATTGCCTTCTTATTGATCTTAGGGCTGTCAACAGAGAATATTCTAATTCTAAAACCTTGACTAAGTTTCTAGAATGCCTTCCTGAGTCTTGGGATACTTTTTTCATGTGTCTCAAGATGTCAAATGACATGTCHACTCTTTCTCTTTCTACCTTATACGGGATTTCTGCTTAACCATGAGCAATCTCGTCAACTGAAAAGAAATCTTGTAAGAGATTCCAGGGAAATGAAAAGCTCTCCTTTAGCTTTGAACTCCGAATCTTCTTCAGTTGAAACCTCTACTCCTTTTGTCTCTTCTCTACCTCCGTGGTCATCACGGAGATATATTTTTCTGAGGACATTCCTGAATCTGATTTAACAGATTTTAATGAGTCCCTGGCACTCCTGACTAAGTCATTTAGGAGGTTTGCCAGTAAAAGCAATTTCTGTAGATCTCCTCAGCTACCCCTCAGGGAGAAGCCAAAGTCTGAAAGAATAGACAAGGCTTCAGCTGTCTGCTACAATTGTCACCGGCCTAGACATTTTGCAGGTGAATGCAGATCCAAGAAGACTGCAACGCCATCTTCTAAAGCCTCTTCCTCCTTCAGGACCAAAGATGATAAATACTTAAAACTGAAGGAGAAATACAAGAAGATGAAAAACAACCAGCGAAAGGCTAAAGG